AAACTACTATGGCCCTATTTGGTAGGGTTTATTTCCAACTTATTTCAACTTTTAGCTTAATTTAAGCTATTTTGATGTGTTTGGTTCAGCTTAACAATATAGCTTATAGCTTTTTGTAAATCAAAAATCAACTTATTCTTTGAGTGGGGGAGGAAAAACTTAATTTATAAGTCAAAAATCAGCTTATGTTCACAATTATAAGCTATAAACTGTTTGGCTATAAGTTATAATCACTTTCCCACAGCTCTACCAAACGGGGCCTATGTTTGGGATGACTTTTTAGCTTTTTACGAAAAGATGTGTACAAAGTAGAGAGAAAATAGAATCTTTGACTTTTTGATATGGGTTGTTGGCTTTTTGATTTTTTTTAGTGATTTTTTGGCTTTTTGGCTAAACGGGTTGCTTCCTAAACTAGTCACTTAAATTTTTAAGTGATATAAATTATGGTTATCAAGCAGATTTAATTAATTATCACTTAATCAACTCAATTTTAAGTGTTAAATCATATTATCAAACACCCCCTATTTAGTCTCTTTTTTATTTTTATTTTTTTATTTTCACTCTTTACATACAGCTTGTATTGGAAGTTGGGCAATACTTTCTCCTCGCCATATTCATTTCGAGCCTTTTAACAATCAATTCTTTCGAAATCAAATGTGTTCATCTCTCTCACACTCTCTCTATTAAAGAATATAATTGTGTAAAAATATTATTTAAAAAAAAATTTAATAAATATATATTGAAATAATAAATATTTGTAAATATCACGTCACCACTAATACGTGGTATGTCAGAAAAAAAAAATTGTATTTTTTTATTTATGTTTTACAATTTTTTTTTAAAAAATTAGTTAAGTTACTTTGATTGATTAGATAAAATAAAGAATGTTATTAGAGTACTCACTAATTAAATTAGTTAGACAAAATAGAGAGTGCTTTCCTGTCTATTTTTGCCAGGTGTTTCGCCAGTAGGGTTGGATTACTCTAACAAAATGCGAAAAAAAAAAGAAAAAAAACTTATCACTCAAGCACATATGGTTATTAGAATCCCAATTTGAATAGTAGGATCTGCTACTCTAGTTGGGCCAAAAGAGTCGAATCGCTAGGGATGTACAAAAAAAACCAGTGAAACTGATAAACCGATTCAATCCGTTTTAAACTGTCGATTTGGTATATTTTTTATTAGCTTGGTTCTGGTTTTGGCTCTAAAAATGGTGAAACCATTCAAATCGATGATATTTTCGATTCCAAAGCTTTGGTTATAATTCCGAACCAAACTGGACCATGACACATTATTTATTATTTATTTATATTTTTATATATAAAAATTAAAATATATAAGATTTGAACACTAACTTTCATTATGAAATTGATAAATTCTAACCAATTTAACTAAATTAATTATTATTAATTAATTTATTAATATAAAAATCAATATCATATTTATTGTTATATAAAATTTATGGAATTGTAAAATTGAACCAAACCAAACTGGTTTCAACGGTTCAGTTCTGATCCAGTTCCATACTTTAACGGTTTGGTTATGATTTTAATTTTTTGGAATCGATTCCTACGGTTTGGTTCCTGATTTACTCTAAAATCGGACCAATTCGATTTGTGAACACCCTTACAGATCGTACTAGAATTTTAAATTCAATAGGATCTTAAAGTAACTACGATCCTAGTCATAAAATCATGTAGAATCACATTACGATCTCGATTTTACTGCGATCCCAATCCTACTAAGGCCTCGTTTGGGGACTAACATTTTATCTAAAAAGTCAAAAAGCTACAATAAATTGTTATATCACTCTTTCTATTTTTCTACAAATCTTTTTATAAAAAATCAAAAAATTATTAAAATAGATTGTTCCCAAATGAGACCTAAAAATAAAATTCTTATAATTTATTTCTTATATATGTATGTATGTGTTTATATATAAAATAAATTTAACTATAAACTTTTTCTCCAAATATCTCTTCTCATTTATGCTAACATAAAAGATGCAATATATTAAATTTATCATTTTTCTTTAATGATTTTAAAATTATTTAACATATATTATCATTATTAATAATTTATCATTTTATTTTCCAGTGAAAGTAAAATCTTATGATTCTCGATTCGATTTTACAGTCTGATCTACAAGTCCTCCCAACGATCTTACTTAAGATCCCGATTTTAACAACCTTGCTCAAACTTAATAACTTTGTTTGGTTTTGATTGATTTTCTAAAAATTGAGTTTTTTATTTTTCGTATTTTTTTTAGTGAGTTTTTTTAATATTTTAAGTACTTTTTTTATGAGCCATTTACATACAAGTCCCATTTTGTGAATTTATAATCCACTAAATCCTAGATAAAATTATTTGCTCCTTCAGGTCCCATTAATTTTTAATAGACCAATTTACCCTTCCAACAAACTTACATCATTTTCCTCCTTCCATGTGAGATAATCATCATAGTATCTTCACCCATATTTGCAACCGACCCTCTATTTCGGCCACCCCTACAACCCTGGTCTTCAAGAACTAGGAACAACCAGAACACTGAGCAATGAGATCGCAAATCGCGATTATGCGAAGGGTCGTGAAATGAAATCGGAATGATTCAAGTCGAATCTTGATCGAAATCATGTTGCAAAGTTGACGTCAGTGCGAAACAGCAGCGCGAAGCGAAAAAGGTGGTGCGAAGTTAACTTGTGTTTGTGATGGGCTTGCATGGGTTGCAATGATCAGATTGCAACATTCAACAGACCTTGGAAAGAACAATTGAATTGAGATCACAACTCAAGAGTCACATTGCTCCCAGATCTGGTATTCGAATCGAGTTTTCGACCTGACCCAAGACTTTCGCAACTCAAGAGTCACACTGCTTCCAGATTTGGTATGCGAATCTCACCCAAGACCTTCAAATCAAGTTCAGATCTCATCTAGGGTTTCATATTCATGTTCGGATCGCAACTAGGACTTTAGGTTGAAGTTGATTTGATGTAACAAAATCGATTTTCCTTCAGATCTGAGTTTGCGAAGTTCAATTTCTCCTTAGATTTGAACTCACGAAATTCGATTTTCGTTCTAGATCTGCATTCACGATGCTCGATTTCAAGTTCTAACCAACAACTATGGTTCGAAATGTGCAAAATCTCAACTCCAAGACTTACGATGAAGTTCGAATCAACTCAATCATAGTTGTTTTTTGAAATTGAGAACCTTCTCAGTTTATAATATTATCAATTTTAATCATAAAAAAATTTGAGAAATTTCTCAAAATTGATAATTATAAATTTCTTAGTTTTGATAATAGTCTCAGTTCATACTAGAAAAAATTTGAGAAATTTCTTAGTTTTGATAATTATAAATTGAGAACATTATCAGTTTTGGGATTAAAGGGCAAAACGTCTTTTTACCTCTAAATAGGACTTATTGGTTCAAAAACTTTTTGATAGGACCTAAGCTACCACTAAATATATAGATAGGACTTTCAGGTAATTAATCCTATTTATCATCTCATAAATAACAAACATGAGTTGTGATACTCATTAAACTAGTATGATATTGACACATAAGCTAATAACCAAATTAAGGTAAGAAAAAAAATAGTAATTCTATCAATTTTGTTTTACAAGTTCATGGCTTATGAGTTGGGTGTTCAATGGAGTGGAATTAGTGTTTAACCAAGTAAGTTAGGGCTTCTGCTCCTTCCTTGGGAGGGTGTAGTATTCCTACTATGATCCTCTGAGTGGCGAGGGCTGTTATTCCGCCTTCCCCTGCCACTCCTCCTGGAGTTATGTTGTTGGGGCTCCAAATCTGCCATAGGAGGGACAGAGGGTAATCCTTCTCGCATTGCGCCCCCGTCTGGAGTTAGCCCATCAACGGCGGACTGCGGTAGTTCTTCAATGTGTGCCATTGATTGAAAAAAGGAGAAGCTTAGTCAAGAGGTTTTTGTTCTTGTCTGTATGTTCCCACAGACGGCGCTAATTGTATGGGGAGGAAATAATTCTCCTCGTATAATCCTGTTGACTAAGTCCACGCTCCTCCGTACGACGTCGCTTTATCACCTGAAAACACAAACGTGAGCTAGCCGGCGGGTGTGTGCCAGAAACCTCTCCGATGCCTAAGTCAGTAAGCTTGACAAATAGACAAAGTTTATGTTCTCAGAAAGAATTGTGTTCAATTGTGTTCAATTCACTTTTCAGAAAATTCTACTCTCTTATTTTCCGTGTTTTTTTGTTTTTACTGAATTTTTTTAATATTTTAAGTAATTTTTTTTACTTTTTAGACACACCTAACATAAATACACCTAAGAAGTAAAAAAAATGTAAAAAAAATCTTTTAAAAATTCATTAAATACCAAAAATACAAAAAAAATTCAAGAATTCAGTACATTTTTTTGTATTTATTAATTTTTTAAAATATTTTTTCACAAATTTTTTATTTTTTAGAAACATCTAAGTAAGGTGCATCTAAAAAAGTAAAAAAAATATTTAAAATTTAAAAAATATTCACTAAAAACAAAAAAACACAAAAATAAAAAAAGTCCAGTTTTGAAAAAATTTAATTCAGAAAACTCAAACCAAACACAGTGATTAATTTTTAAAAAACTTAATTCAGAAACTTAAACCAAACATTTATTTATTTTTATTTTATTTTTTATTTTTTTTTAGGGAAGAGTCAAATTCGTTAATCTCCCTTTCCTTTTTTTCACTTGACAAACAAATTTAGAGATTGTTTGGGGATGCTTTAAATAAATGTACTTTTTGTCTTTTTAGACTAAAAAATAAAAAAAATATATATAAATATTTAAATTAACTTATTGATTTTTTATAAAAAAATATATAATAAAAAATTATAAAAATTAACTTATAAAAGAAAATTAAAATTAAAAATTATGCAGTCATAATTATTGATTTTTAATAAATAGTAATAAATTTTTAACTTTTTTATTTTCATGCGAATCTTGCCCTTAAAATCCCAAATACATCCTTTTCCCATTCTCATTCATTCTATTGAGGTCTCATTTTTCGTTTAGAATTGTATTTCACTTTTGCAGAGCCCAAAATCCCAGAGAGAGAGAGAGAGAGAGAGAGAGAGATGGCTCGACAAGCCACGAAACTCATCGCCAACCTATCTTCAAAGCTTTGCCCTAAGGCAGACTCTATTTTGTCCCCTTCTTCTTCTTCTTCTTCTTCTCATGCTTTGACTCAGTCTCGCCATTTCGGGGCTGTTCCGGCGCCTCCTCCGCCTGTGTTTGTCGACAAGAACACTCGCGTCATTTGCCAAGGTATTACCGGCAAGAATGGCACATTTCACACCGAACAAGCCATCGAATACGGCACTAAGATGGTAACACATGTTTATATATATATACACGCAAATCTCTTTATATGCCAGCGTTTGAAAATTTCAGTTGGATCGTAGTGTTGGGTGTCGATTATTTATAGATCTGTGAAATGGGTCTCTGTTATATTCCCTCTTTGTACTGATCTGAAAGTGGGTTTTGTGTTTAGAAGTTTGGAATCAGATTCTATAGCTAATAGTGAATCACATATTATAGTAATAACTCATGATTGCAGATAATTCTATTTATTGTTTAGTCCCATCAATATTTTCAAGCTTGTCTTGAAGGTTAATGTGGGTGAAAAGTTTGGAAAATAGTGGTGACTGGTGGATTCTTCATGTTTAGTCAAACAAGGGCTGAGTTTGATATCTGAATTTTTGGGTTTGCTGAATGAGGAATATGGGTTGGTTTTGAAAAATGATTAACACTTGTTGTGGCATGTTTATTCATTCAGTTAACAATCTGAAATTGGAATTGTGTGACAAAGCATCAAAAAACTGTTATGAGTTGTGTGCTTTATATAGTAGAATAGGTTTTCTTCACTTATTGTTAATATTTTGGGATATCACTGATCTTTCCATACAAGTTTTACGCGGCCTGTCTTCTTAAACATGTTTGAAATATAAGAGCTCTCATTGATTAGTTTTCATTGAAATTGATTGGTCAATGATTTTACGTGTAGGTGCATTTTTATCATTTTGACACTTGGTTAAAGGGGTATTTTTTATATCTACAAAAATTTGAATGACCTCTTCCTTATGGGATTCTTACACCACCTCTCTTATATAGTGTATATATTATGTTTATGTATATATGGTATTTGTATTGCCATCATTTTGTATAGAATGAGAGCAAAATTGCATATTGTTGATGTAATAAAATGTTTGCCTAAAATATATAAATAAGCTTTTATTTTTATTTTTATGTAAGTAGGTTGGAGGTGTTACCCCAAAGAAGGGTGGAACAGAGCATTTGGGACTTCCCGTTTTCAACACGGTTGCAGAGGCAAAGGCCGAGACAAAGGCTAATGCATCAGTTATTTATGTTCCTCCACCTTTTGCAGCAGCAGCTATTATGGAGGCAGTGGAGGCTGAATTAGATTTGGTTGTGTGCATCACAGAAGGAATTCCTCAGCATGACATGGTAACCTATGTTTCTTTTAAATATTTATGTTCCTTCACCTTAAAAAACCATTCCCCCCCCCAAAAAAAAGTTGATTAAGTTGAGTTGAATTAACCTCACCAAACATCCAACAACAACTTTTCTTAAACTATAATCCAAAAAAGCAAAGTAAAAGCTTTTCCAAACATATAGTTTGAAGAGTCTAATGTTGGGAGTGCCTATGGAAACATTTATATATTTAATGTATGAATATGTTAATATATTGTATGACATTTTTTCGTTGCATAGTAGTAACACATGTTAAAATAAATACATTGGACAATGGCGTGAATTGCAAAATGTTTTTTGTAAATAGAAATTAGTATTACGTAGATACGAAGCACTAGAATAAAATTGAGTTTTTTTTTTTCTTATAATGTTATGGTCTTGTTTGGTTGCTTTTCTTTTGTTCATATATGTTTGAGAGATTCCATCACAGTTAGGAATGCAATTTTTTCTATATGGAAACACGGTTGTAACTCGATTCTTGCACTGAACCATAATTGAGGTTATGGAGCAGATTTGTTACCCTTGGGAGGTTCTTGCAACGAAGGGCAACAATGGAAGATGATATGAAGTTGTTCAGGGGCTCTGACCAGTATCTCAGGTGTTGGGGGTTATTTTTGCTAGCTATAGTTGACTATTTGAAAAAGAAACTTTAGGTTTGTAAATTTGGTTTGTGTATGTAGAGGAAAGGGATTCAGATTTGGTTATGGCTTCTAAAGCTTTGAAATTGGAGGAAGCAAAGTGAAAAGAAGAAAGAAGGAAAAGTCTAGGCATCACACACCTGGATTCTTGCAGACATTATACCTAGGGTTATGTTAACATAGTGCCAAAGAATCAAGAGATGATGTTACTGCTTAGGTGGAATGGTGTATTTCTACAGTTTTTTGTTTTAATGATGATAGTCACAACTTAGGCAGAGTATGCTAGCATGTGTTACATGGACTCTTCTACTTCTCCCAGGGTACCTATGTCCATATGACAAAGGTATGAGTATGGATATGTGTCCGACACCCGTACCCAATTTAGACACTTGAATCATCTACTTTTATATGATGTTGAAGAAGAATTCACTCACATTTACTAGTGCAGAAACATTTCTAGCTTATTTCACAAATGAGATACACAAATACCATATTTTTCCTAAATCCCATTTAATTTGAAGTATATTTCTAAATCATTTACAACATTTAATATGCAATATATACAAGTGTTTGAGACTTGGTCCCATATCCATGCCCAACTTTTGGATACATATCTCAATATCCTAAAATTTAGGTTTAGGAAGATTTGATGCTTGGCCCCGCACCCGATACTCATACCTGAGTCCATGTAACATAGATTCTGGCAGATTTGTAAGCTGCAGCTTCTGATTAACATTTTAATTTGTTCTCCAATCAGACCTTGTTTCATTGTTTCATAAATGAAAATGTAGTTTATGTATGCAAATTACGTACGTTCATGGGATTTAATGTAAATAGCCTTATTTGCCTTACTTTCATGGTTTATGATATGAGACAATAGCTTGTTATTGCATTTTACATTTGTGTTGATAATTGCAAACTATAGGTTCGGGTGAAGGCCGCTCTTAACAAGCAATCAAAAACTAGGCTTATTGGTCCAAACTGCCCTGGTATTATAAAGCCTGGAGAATGCAAAATTGGTATTATGCCTGGATACATTCACAAACCGGGGCGTGTAGGAATTGTTTCTCGATCTGGCACATTGACTTATGAAGCGGTGAGTTCCACTTTGTTGATGATTCTTCTATTGTCTTTTTGTAAAATTGTAATAGTGTTTTACATTATTTTGGGAAGGTTGGAAACAACACCCACCAAAGCCTGGTTGCAGGTTGTAACTGTGAGGGACTTCATGGGGCAAATTTGTGAAGTAGATGGTATCTTGATTATATTAAATACTTTCTATGTTGAAAATTGTGTTATATTAATATTTTGCTTAACTTTTATAACTTGCGCCTCGCTTTGGTGAGGCGCGCGCCTCGCCTCACGCCTCGGCGCTCAGGCTCCAGGTGACCTTGGCGCCTCGATGCGCCTAGGGCTTTTTAAAACACTGAGATGGTATCTTGATTATGCTAATACCTCTGACATTGTATCCTGCTTTGATTGGTTTGACTGTTACTAATGATCAATTTTCTGAATGATTTTGTTTTATATCTTGTAGGTTTTCCAAACAACTGCTGTTGGCCTAGGCCAATCAACCTGTGTTGGTATTGGTGGGGATCCTTTTAATGGGACAAACTTTGTTGATTGCATGCAGAAGTTTCTTGTTGATCCTCAGACAGAAGGTACAGTCTAAAATGAAATTAATCTTATATATTTGTGAGGATGATATGTCCTCCATGTGGTAAAGAGGACAGCATGTGCTCTTTGAAAAAAATGGATGTTTATTACTGAAATATTTGACTTATCTAATTTGAATATTTAAAATTCTTTAGACATAATTGGGTATTGACAATTAGCATGTAAACGCGTCACTCGTATTTTATATATGGTACGCTGTCAACCATAGCACAAAAGATACACCTCCAGTTGATTAAAGCAGTTGATTTTTCTTTAAAGCAAATTACTCTAGTGAGCAGTATAACTCAAATGACTTGGTTAGAAAAATCACTGTGATGTTGTAATTTTCTCAGTGTTTATAAAAGCAAAAGGCGCATCGAGGCATTAAAGTCTCTTGGGGCCTAATCACGAGGCATGAGGCAAGTTGCAAGTAGTAAAAAGTTCAGCAAAATTATAATATAGGCAAAAAAATCTCAACATAAGCATAAAATATTTCTAGAATTCAAAAATCATAAGACATACCATCCAACATTCCTAATACGAAATATTTAATAAAATCATATAACATCCAACGAACACCAATGTTTAAGTTTTAAGGTATTGAAAACAAAGCAACTAAACATTCCATCCTACACTTCCATGGGTTCACCTATCCTAAGGACCTAAAAATCATCCTCATCAGTCATCAGCAAGCAAATCATCTTTCTCAGCATCATTGGATTTATACACTTCCGCATCTTCCTCCTCTGCCTCATTAGAATCGCCTTCTTTCCATCCTGCTTCATTTATAAATTGAAGTGTGGCCGATGATCTTGAACCCATTGGCGTTGCCCTTGAAGTTTGGAAGTATAATTTAAAAAACTACAAGGGAGATCCTAATAATTGTCAGACCTTAAGAATGATAATAATAAACTGAAGGATCGAGATGGGATGTTGGCGGTATGGTAGCTTTGGGAATAATTAATTGAATTTATAAATTATAAGTGGTAAAAGATATTATGTTTTGATGGATTTATAAAAAGAAAGATGGATTTAAGTTTCTTGTTGAAGTCTGTATTTTATATGAATCAAATACATACATTCATGTGTATGTGTGTCTATATAGTCTGTACACTAAATATTAGTCTTCCTAAAATAGGATTTCATTATAAAATTAACTTAATATACTTATAAATTAACAAATTAACCATAGAGAGTGGGCCATCTTTGACTACCCTCATGACGTGTCATTTTAAAAATATATGAGGAGACACACATGGTTCTCACATAGGAGAGAGACAAAAGTTTAGGGAACATTACTTTTATATCTCTATAGATGATTGGTGCAAGATGGCATGTAGAAATGGAAGTAGTTGGACAAGATTGGTGTGGGAAAGAAAACCTCAGGATCTAGATATTTTCTTTCTTTGATTACTTAAAGCTGCTGGTTGGTGGTGCTCGAACAAATAAAGGAAATTTTGTATTGTGAAAGTGCCAACAATTCAAGCTCAGGCTTTAATAATGCCGCCGCTGGCATTTTAGAGCCCATGCAAGGTAAAACCCATGTTATTGCTTCCATTGTGCTAACTGTTCTTATTATAGTTTGCCATCAAATTGGGCATTGTGCTTTTTTGTCTTATGTATTGAGAATTGCTAGTTCTACTTTATTTTGTAGTTCCCTCAACCTCGTGTTGTTTTTGCTATCATTTGCATTTCCAACTTTTCTTTCAGCCTAACCATGATTTTTTGATGAGTTAATATTGATATTGGTAGTGTTTATTTGAGGAAGGCACAAACTAATTCCTAAGTTTTATTTTTTATATTTTATCGGCAACAAAGAAACTTTATTAATCATTAAAAATATGACATATAAAGGAGGACGAGAAGTCCCCAAAATCAGAAAGGAAACAAAAGGTTGTCACGCTCTACAAATAGCATTCCAATCCCTAAAAATTCCTTAAATTTTAAACGAGGGAGCCACCAAAACCCAAAAAAATAGGCTAAAAACACAATTTTCTCTCAAATTCTCTCCAAATCTTCTACTTTCTTTTAAAATACTCTAGCATTCCTTTCAAGCCATAAAACCCAGAAGACCGCGCAAACCATACATTTCCATAGAACTTGAGCCCTTCTGTTTGATCCTGTAATGCCACATCATCAAAACTCTGCCCCCGTGGCAAACTGACAAGACACCGAACGGACATATCACATGCCTAATACATGGCCAGCCCTACGGGTGCCATGTCACCAATACCTTGCCTGTATGGTAGACCGCCAAGGCACCATGCAAAACTGAGACTACATGCATAGCCTAAGCGGGAGTATGCACATAAGCCAAAGTATGAAGAGTCCTGCAATAGGCAACACTATGGCCCCGTAGGTCTATGGTCTTTCATACCTTGCTTGCTCCAAGTTCAACAAGAAGATAGGCAGGCCCTGCCCTACTTGTACATGTTGGACAAGCCCTTGGCCCACTCACCGACTTGGTTGCTTGGGTCGAGAGTGGGACCCAGGCATCACCGCTTCATCAGAGGATCTTGGTCTGGAGGCTGAAGTCAGGGGATTGTCAAGATGGTTGTCTTTTTGCTAAGTCAACTCCATCTTGATTAGGCTTGGAGAAGAGATAATGGGGGCCTTACACTCACTACCTGATGTATGATATGTTGCTCTTTCGCTTGCTATCAAACCACATACAATAGCAGGGCTTATATCAGCTTCCGGCAGAGTTGGGAAGAAGAAGCCATCTGTCCAACAGGTTGCTTGGGCTTCAATGCTTCGGGAGCCTACATAACATATCATATATGTAGTAGGCAAACTCACTCTCTCATACGTACTGAGATTTACACACAAGTCTTACACTCAGATATATGCAATAGGCAAACTCACTCTCTCAGACGTACTGAGATTTACACACAAGTCTTACTCTCACATTCACACTCATACTTGCACACTTAAGACATATACACAAGTGTTCAAGGTCCATTACTGCCAGCCTCTCCCTCTCCAAGCTTGCCTTGGCCTCCTCTCTGCCTCTAGTGATCTTAGGCCATTGAAGTGCTTGCCATCTTTTCAGAGGTCACAACCAACTACATCTACCCACACATACTCACAAATCCAAATCTTCTAAAATCAATACAAAACATAAGCTTGCAAGAGTGCGTAATAACCCAATCGACTTTCACCAAATGACACTCTCCACCATAATGATATTGTAATAGTGTAATGAAAGAATTGATCTTTGAAGCACGGATACGGACACGGACACGGACACGAACACGGGATACGGCAATTTCCAAAAAATGAGAATACGGACATGGCGGGGGACAATGCGAATTTTTTATTTTATTTTTATAATTTTTATGTGTTATGTAGATTCATATTACATTGATCCTAAATCAAAATTTGAACTAGACATTTTTCTTGTAAATTATAACCATTACAAATTAACATTAATATTAGAAGGGAAAGAAAAAAAAAATAGTGTATATATATATAAACCTAAATTTAAAATAAAATAAAAAACAGTTTTACAGATTTCACTCTATCTCTCTCTCTCTCTTTTTCTCTTTCGCAGTTTACTCGACTTCAAGTAAATTGATTTTTTTTTATACACGTTTATATATATATATATATAAACGTGTATAAAAAAAAGTCAGTTTGCTCGAAGTTGAGTAAACTGCGAAAGAGAAAAAGAGAGAGAGAGAGATAGAGTGAAAGAGAAAGAGACAGAGAGAGAGAGAGAGAGAGAGAGAGAGAGAGGTTCACCTTTGAAGACGACCGAATGGTAGACAACTGATGGAGATTGACTGGGTGGAAGACGGCCGATGGAGATCGACTAAGGTGGTGGATCGGCTGGTTCATGTCGGCAATAAGTATGATTAGGGCTTCACTCTCTCGTTTGTCACTCTATTCCTTCACTCTTTCAATTAGGGCTTTTTGATCCTTCTTGTTGTTGTTGTTGTTTGTTTGTTTTTTTTTTTATTTTTACTTTTTAAATATTATACTTTGACCCCAAATAAATATAACAACATTAAAAATATGCCCCGCCGTGTCCCGATATGGACACGCGTGTCCTCGCCGTGTCCCTTACAAAAAAATTCATTAAATTAAAGTGACACGCCATGTGGCGTGTCCCCAACGTATCCGCGTGTCAGACACTGCCACGGCGCCAATTTTGAAGTGTCCATGCTTCATAGGAATTGATGATTCAAATTTTACTCAGCCTTCGGTTAAGGATGACACACCATTGTTGAAACAAGAGTCAGTTTGGTTTTCTATTTTGAAGCGTGTTGTTGGTTTTAAGTTTCTTGTGAGCCAATGTCTATGCAAAAACTTTAAGGGGCACACAAGCACCCCAAGAAATCATGTAAGGTGGAAATATTGAGATGCTTGAATTATCGATGAGGTTATCAAAAAAAGACTTCCAAGCTAATGGATGGGGACATGGACATGGTGGCAATAAAATATATTTTTTTCTTATGTCTCTTGAAGAAAAATAATAATTAAATTAAGTGTCCCATACGTGTCCTCGTGTTCAATACGACTACATCACTTATTTTGAAGTGTCGGTGCTTCATAACTTACAAGTAAACAACCCATGTGGATGAGGAGTCCACACCTAAGAAGCATAGACACAACATTGACACGCCGACATGGAGATTTTTTTAAAAATGTAACGTACGACATGTGGGGAACATGTGCAAAATATATAATTTATATATTTATTATGTCATACTTTGAAATCTAAAGAAGCATAATAGATCTAAATTTACATCGTTTTTATTTTCTCATTAGATTTCAAGTTATTTTATTCAAACTTTAATGTGTTTCATGTGTGTCTTAAGTGTTGGAAAGTATCCGACAAGTGTCATTTCTTGTCAATGTCCGACATGCTGTCGAACATGGAGCTACTTTCTTAGAAGTTTCCATGCTCAAGTCCACACTCTTTTATTAAAAGAGCCAGAAGACAATGAGACGTTCTCGGGATTGCCAACAAAGATATACATTCATTGGCCTTACAATCATTAAGGTTTTTTAAGAATTTTTAAAGTCCCAGGAGATAGGAAATGAATGGGATAAGACTGTCAAAGCAATTAAGATAGTATTAGTATGTGTTGTAGCTAACAAATATAATTGCGGAAATAAAAGAGCAAATGGAGTATCCTCCTCCAAGTATCCTCCCAAAAGCGAATAAGCTCCCCATTACCTACAACAAGACGAATGGACTAAAGTGAATCTCACCCCCTTTGGGGATCAAAGCTTTTCCTAACCCTTCCAATCACTTTCCAACCTCCTCCAAAACCAGGGCCCAAAATTCTTCATCATAATCTTTTTCTTTTTCTTTTACTTTTACTTTTACTTTTACTCTGTATTTTTTTCACTTCTCCATTATGAGAAGTACACACTTGCCGTGCAGTGATATATAGAAAAGATAGGCCTACAGACAAAATGGGGCATTGGCCTAATATGGTAGAAATAGATTAATCTTTTTCTCTTAAAAAGGGGGAAAAAGAAAATACATTATATCCCTGGTTATTTTTTGAGTAAAGAATTATTGAGTATGGAAGATCAATTGAGAAAAGTATACATGCTATTAAAATCTAATTAAGCATTCCAATTTCATTTCAGGTATCATTCTTATTGGTGAAATAGGTGGTACAGCTGAAGAGGATGCGGCTGCACTTGTAAAGGTGAGTAATAATCATATTTATTTTCAACACATAAATGACAAAATGAAAAGTGAAAAACACTATTGTAATGTAGTAATCTGTTGTGTATTGAGTGCTGACTAATAAGCTCTTGAATGGCTGGTTCAATTGTTGTGAATGATGAGAAACATCTGAGAAGCTGTCAAAGAAGCATCTCTTGGTTTGTGTAATTTTCTGTTTTGCGGTTACCTCTTCTGAAATATCTCTCACTGCATTGACTACTTGCACATGAGATGTACATTGCTATTTGTTGGAAGACTTGTTTTCAATTTATTGGTCTATTAGGGAAACTTTTAAATTCGTGCTTTTTTTAAGTGACAATGATTTTATCCATAATACTTATAGCTGTGGGCAACCGTCCTTTCTCTCCCTCATCAATGGTAACAATCAAACTCGTAACTGACCCTCCCTTATTTTTTCTCTGAGAAATTAAACTCAAGAGTAGTAATAAACTTAAATTGATGTTTAAAATTCAGTTTTGTATATATCCTAGTTGCCATTGTGTTAGATTCTTCTTCTTGCTTTGTTGCTTCATCTTTAAGAAGCACAAACACATGCTACAAAACGAACACACAATTATGAAAATTTTCAAAAAATGTACTACATGACACGACACATAAGTGACACGCACAAAACATATAATTTTATATCCTTATTATATGTCATATATAAAGATAAACAGTTATTTTATGATATGTATATGGATATTAGTTAAAAGATAATATCAAAATGCAACGTAACACTAATTTTTGAAGTCTAAATGATGAGAATATGTACAAGTTCATGTTGTTTTTCTTTTATCATTAGATTTCAAGTTATTTTATTCAAATTATGTGTTAAGCGACACGTGTTCCCCAAATGTTATTTTATTCAAATCATTGTGTTAAGTGATAGACACATGTGTTCCCCAAATGTCTGAAGCGTGAAGAGTTTAGAAATTAAGTGTCTAGAAGTCCTTGGAGTGTCAAGAAATGTTGGTGTTGAACACGGTGTTTGACACGACACACCACCTTCGTAGAAGTGTCCATGCTTCTTAGCTTCATCCCCAGATAAATAAACTTGATATAATTTAAATATTGATTTTAATGAAAAATAATTGATGCAAGTATTTTTGGTGTGTTCTTATGCTATCTCACTTTATTGCTGTTTTCAACAAATCTCTTGGGTTTTGCAACTTGTAGCCTGAATTTTATTTTTCCATGCAATTAAAAACTTGAATTTCTATTTTACAAGAAATGCTTGGTTTTTTGTTTTTTTACTAATAGAAAGGGGTGCATTCTTTACACTATTGTTTCTTGGCAAATTCTTTGACTTAGCTTTTGTCATCTCCTATTACCACTACTGCCACCGCCATTCCTACCAAGCCACCACCAGCACCACGCCACTGCCCCCACCACCACCTCTCCGTCACAATTATATTAACTTTAAATGGATATGTCGGCACTCTGCAATTCATCCTGCAAGAGACATGCTTTTTTTGAACTATGCAAGAGATATGCTTGGTGTACATTTTTTCACTCAAAATTTGTTCAAGATTGCAAACTTTCATGTTACTCTATCTTTGATGTATTTTTCTTAATCAGCTTCTTTGATTTCAATTTGTGGGAACTTGAGCATGCAATTGTATGTAAAACTGAAACAGGAAAGTGGGACTCAAAAGCCTATTGTTGCTTTTATTGCTGGACTCACTGCTCCACCCGGCCGGCGTATGGGTCACGCTGGAGGTACTACATTGTCATCTCTTTAAATTTGTACTCCTGTAGTAATCATATTTTTGTTGACAATCCAAAAAGAAAAATTGTTGTGTTATACCTGCACAAGAGTTGGTATTTTGTGTTTAATCACATTATAAAGGTCAGTGGTAGATTTTTACTCCTGTAGCTATTATATTTTTTGTTTGTTTGGTTTGATTTCAAAAATGTTTTTCTGACTTCTTATTTTTGGTTTTTGTTTTTGTTTTTTTGTCTTTAGTTAAAAAAATATTTTAGTAATTTTTTTTACTTTTTAGATGCACCTAATCTAGATGCATCTAAAATTTTTTAATTTTTTTTTAAAAAAATTTTGGCTAAAATATAAAAGTTCTCTAAAGACAAAAGATAAACATATAACATAACAATAAAAAAGGCCAGCACATTTCCTCCTTTTAAGGAATTTTTTTCCAGATTTCTCCACATGTTTTATTTTTTAGGTGCATCTCTATTAGGTGCTTCAAAAAACTGGGGAAAAAAAAAATTGACTAAAAAAAGGGAAGTAAAAAAACATTTTTTGAAAACCAAACGAAATGGTGTTGTGTTATGCCTGCATGAGAGTTTTGTGTTGTGTATTACAATTTACACCATCTTCTATATCATAAAGAGTGTCACATTAATAGTCAGTGGTAGATTTTGTAGTCCGGTACAGAAATACAAAATTTGTTGTGTTATACCCTGCATGTGAGAAAATTTTGTATTGTGTTTAGTGCACCATCAATGTCATACAGAGAGGATCACTTTATAAAGGTTAGTGGTAGATTTCTAATCTTCATTAACTCTGTTATTCGTGTTTGAAATGCAGCTATTGTATCGGGGGGAAAGGGTACAGCACAAGACAAAATCAAGACGCTCAGGGAAGCTGGGGTAACAGTGGTCGAGTCTCCTGCAAAGATTGGAGCTGCAATGCTCAATGTCTTCAAACAGAGAGGTCTCGTGTGAGTCACTTTCATACGAATTGTTTGATCTTATTTTTGAACTGACCTGACAATTTATGCGATGAGCCTTGGGTCTGAAGCCTGGTTTTAGTATATGATTAGAATAAGAAATATGTTGAGAAAACTGCATTGGTTGTGAGATCCGTGGAAACATTTTTCCAATATTTCTGTTTTCCTATAGCCTCCTTTATTTATGTTTAGATTTGGATACTTCAATTGAAGTGTTTTTACAACACAGGTTTTAAGAAGAACTTCTATTGTTTTGGATTTTGAGCTGTGTTTTCATTTCTTGAAGTTGTTGAGAATTATACATGATTATCTCAAAGATTATAAGCTTGTAAAAAGTCAAATCATGAGAATGATTATTGGAGTAATTTGAAAATGCATAAAATACGGAGTACCTGTTATGTTCAACGACAATGGATGAGACTAGGTAAATGATTACAAGTATTCATTGTATTGTTAAGTCATAAAATTTTGTTTGGGGATTGATGAAGAGCTGTGTTTTTTAAAAGAATTTCTTTTTAGAAGGGCATATTATACATAAAAATGATCAGAATGTTGTGCACATCAATTTTATGATTTTTTAAAAAAATAGATGTGATCGAACATATACCTATCAATGGTCAATAATTTTTTTTAAAAAAAAAATTTAAGACAAATATGATCGAACGTAATGATGCTCAATAATTTTGTTTTTTGTTTTTTGTTTTTTATTTTTTATTTTTTATTTTAAGACTAATGTGATTGAACATATAGTTACCAATGTTTGTTAACTTAATTTTTTTGTATGAATAATCTTTAAAATGAGTTTGTACAAAATGAATGATATAAATTATTGACATGGGATTAAATTCAACAGTACCATTTATACAAAGCTCTTGGGTAGTTCCCCAAATTCAGGCTTGCCAGGGAGAGGTAGGTACTCAAGACTTGTAAGCATATATCTATGCACTGATACAGATGGATTGTTTGGCAAAGGCTATTTTTTAGATTTTTGGGTTAAAATTTATAAAAAGATAAAAATAAATTACAATAGTTAATATGACAAATTATTACATCAAACTCATAATCATTTTATTTTTTCTTTCACAAGCTTCACATTCAATTACAAAAAAAAAAAATATATCTTTTTAAATATCTATTTCTTAGATTTTTGGGTTAAAATTTATAAAAAGATAAAAATAAATTACAATAGTTAATATGACAAACTATTACATCAAACTCATAATCATTTTATTTTTTCTCTCACAAGCGTCACATTCAATTACAAAAAAAAAAAAATGTAGCTTTCTAAATATAAAATTTTTAATTTACTAAAATAATTAAAAATTAAAATAACATATTAAAATAGCAACCCCCAAAAGAATTGCACTAACCTCTACAATTGAATGCCTAGCAAGAAAGAAACCACGGTTTCCTAAAGGAACAATTATTCAACGCCCCTGAAATAAGTCGAAGTGCGGTTTTACGTGCAAAAAATTTACAAAAAATAAAATAATAAATTTATGACTTGCAGTGATTTTTTTCACTTTTTTGTACTACAAACCTCACTTTTCAAACATGAAATTAGATTATGTTTTTCATGGTTACAAATCAATGGGCGTTTGATATTCATTTTTTATTTTTATTTTTTTCCGTCTTTTCTTACATTATGTCGTACTTAAATAAAAGGGTAAAGCACTAATAAAGGGCAATTCTACTTACACTATTATTTTACTTCTTTATACTTTTCATATGAGTTTTTTTTTATCTAATTTTATCCATGTATGAAATTACTTTTAGGACAAAACACTAAAATTAAATATATTTTGCTATCTCTTTATACCTCTTGGTCTTTAATCCCTACTCCTCTTTTTCCTTTCTTAATTTTTCTTTTCTCTTACACATCTCTTTTTAAAGAGTGAGAATCATAGTATTTTGATTAGTAAAGAAAGTAATGGATGAAGAAGCAGTGGTAAAAACCATAAAAAAGTGAAAATGGTGAGTTTTTTTTTATTTATTTGGTAGATTTTTGTTTCGCTTTTTTGGACTGGTGTTAGACTTTCGTGCGGTGGTTCGAAATCGAACAAAATAAAATAGTCCGGCATCACATTGTTGAACAAAAAATATAAGTCTGGTAACCAACTACTGAATAAAAGATACATTTCTGGTAACCCCAAACAGAATTTTTTTAATTTGTTCGATTTCTCATTACCATGTATTTTCAGTTTTATTTTTTTATAATTTTTTTTATTTTTTTGCCTGGAAGGATTATACTTATACTCATTGCAACAATATTAGTGGACTCTAGTCATGAATTCATTACAGACGACATTTGTTAAGTTTTTTATTTTTTATTTTTTTTATGAGAATACGATTTTTTCTTATTTTTAATTTGTATTGAGTTTTATTAATAATTTGACGTATAAATGTATGTATTATCTTTAGTTTTTAGTAGTCGTGAAGTATTAATTAAATGGGTTTCTGATGTTGGGAAGAAGACTGGATTTGTCTTTATTATAAAGACATATGGATACTTTATGGATATTCATACACTTGATATTTTTATCAATAATTTTATGGATACTTTTTATGTTTGATTTTATGGATGCATGTTTGATTTATGAATTTTTTTATGGATGCTTCAAGAAAAAAGTAAATATTTCAATGTACAGTGACAGGGACCTAGACAACTCTATTGTAGTTTGGCAACATGACACTAGAGTTATCCCATTTGTATAATAATATATCACTGAACATGCACTTCACAAGTGGCCCAAATTAATTTCTTGTTATCATCTAATTAGACGGCAACATAATGCTGGGAAAAAAAATTATTGTTTGATAATATGGCACTAGAGTAATTCAAATTAATTAACGTTATATTACCGAATAGGCCCACCAAAAATTAAAAAATCACTGTTTAGAAGAAAGTGTCTTTGTAAATGTATAGCAACAAAATGCTGGAGAGACCTATTTTTTCTGGCAACATAGCACCGGAATAATGTAAATTATTTAGCACCATGTTACCAAAATTAGTGGTGTAAAGAGATGAAATAGTTAATTTAGGGTTAGTTTTGGTAATACACTGGAGGTGTAATGAGAATTACATTTTTTTTAGTGGTGTAATGAGATGGAAAGTGTAAAGATGTTAAATAGTGGTGTAAGTAGAATCACCCCTAGTAAATTTTAAAATGTGATCTTTTTAGCTATGAAAATTACATAAAATGGTAATCACTTACACGTTTGGGTTTAATTTTTAAGGGATAAAAGTAGATTTTTTCAAATGTGAAATTACACATTTGGGCAATCCACACTATAGAGGTTTTGAATTTTTCCTTTTTCTGGAACAAATATCGCATTACGAACAAGAATGTAACACTCCAATTTAACACACTAAAAAACTCCTTAGTGTAATTTTCCTAAATGTAACAACATAACATTCCAAACTTTTTTCAAATATATCACTTCAATGTAACACACAAAAAAACTCCTTAGTGTACTTTTTCGAAACGTAATACTCCAATTAATATAATTTCAAATATAATACTCTAATGTAACACCCATAAAAACACTAAAAAATTACTTAGTATATTTTTTCCAAACGTAATTCTCATAGTTTGAAATTAAACATTTATTTAAAACTTACTAAGAAATTTTTGTATTCATTTTGGAATGATTTGAAGAATCTCACATCCTTTTTTTAGAGTGTTACATTAGAGTATTACGTTTGAAAAAAGTACACTAAAAAAATTTTGTATGCTAAATTGGAGTGTTACACTAAGGAGTTTTTTTGTGTGTTACATTGGAGTGTTACGCTTAAAAAAAGTATAGTAAGGAATTTTTTTGGAGTGTTACATTTGGGAAAAAAAAATATACATTGGAGTGTTAGGTTTGAGTGTTGCATTAGAATATTACAAATTAAAATTATACATTTGCTCAAAACTTACTAAGGAGTTTTTGTATACTTTTTGAAATATTTGAAGAATCCCATATTCATTTGGAATGTTTGAAGAATCCTATATTTCAAGTCATTTTTATACTCCTTTTGAAATGTTTAAAAAATCTTATATTTTCAAGTCTTTCCAAATAAAAAAATATTAATTCCAAATTTGATTCCCATGGTGTATCTTACATTTCTATTAAAAAAATATAAATAAATAAATAAACATAATAGAAATGAAGATATAATTGTAAAGTCAAATTTTCAAATAATATATTAAATTTACATTTTTAAAATCAATTAGACTAATTGATTTATAGAAAAACTTTTGAGATTAATCAAATCAACAATTCTTGAAATGAAATTTATAAATAAATTTTCTTAAAATATATATCATATTTATTATTATATAAAATTTGTAAAGTGGTAAAATCAAATCCAACGAAATTCATTTATATCATTTGTCTCTAGCGAAAGAGTCAACTTGCCGCCTCTTGTATATATAAAAGGCCGAGGGATGTCAATGGACTTATCTGTTGACAATTGGATTAAAAGTGAACTTACTAGTTTTTTAAATCATATTTATTTCTCTATATATTTTTTTTTTCAAAAAAAACCTTAAAAAATTATATTTTCACTTATTTTCCAAAATAGGCCAGTGTCCGTCGGCTTATAATGTTTTTAATGTAGCTAAACAATTTGTCTCTATATTTTATTTTTGGAGTAACCCTCGTCAATTGGACTGAAGGCCAACCCGACCCGACCCAAGCCCATTACCGTGTTGGTGACATCATCCAAATCGGGTTGGACCTAGGTCTTGGGTTTGAAATTCTACCTGGCATGTTGGCTGGCTCAGCCCAAATCTGTCAAAATAGGCCCGATGGTCTTAGCCACTGGACAAGGTTTGACTCTACCTTCATAGAATGTGATGCCAACCATTTAACATTGACCATATATTTTTACCATATTATGTCTCATTTGACGTAATCAATATCCAACTAATGTGTGTCAGCTATATCAAATGATAAATGAAATGTAATAAAATGATATGATCATTGTAACATTACCCTTTCTTTCTATTTGACATTATATGCATATGCTATAAAATGAGCTGCTAATTAAATAAAATGATTTAAGAACATAATTTTTATATAAAAAATTCATTCAAATGATATGGTAGTGACAATTTTAAAAATTTGAGTCAGAATAGCTGGTGTTCTAATTTAAAATGAAAGAATCACCAAACAGTTAATTTTGTATAAATTTTTTTATGTAAATTATATATATCATTACTCTATAAAAATTATTTTATCAAAATATCTATTAAAATAATATTCGTGCACTA